ATGATCTCAGCGAAGGTTGAGTACTGCTCGCGATCACCAAGAGCCTGGCTCAATGCAGCACAAGACCTGTTGTAGAACTCACGGCGTAAATGCGTGAATGGCAAGTCCAGATTGGGCACTGCCGCAATCTTCTGCCACTCCGTGAGCCAATCCCGTGTTACGGTGTTGCCCTGTGACATGGTGAACAGACGGTTGATGGCGAGTGCTGGCGCGTCGTCGACAATGAACCGCTTCTTCCACAGTCGTGTCAGTTCCTCCCATGTGATCTTGTCCTTCAAGTCTGGTACGTCGACGCCGTGGGAGGTTGCCAGGTGGGTCAACCAGATCTGGCATCCGCCCTTTGAGTTCATGAACAAGGCGCCGATGTATGCGTGCTTGGCGACGGGCAGAATCCTGAGTTGCGTTGTGAATGCTTCCCACCAAAGGACCGGATCCTGCTGCGTATAGTCGTCGAACTTGTCCAGTTGGAAAGTTGGCATCTTGTACAACTTCGGATTGCCATCCGCGTTCGTCGACTGCAGCTGTTGGAACTCGGTCTTCAAGGTATGCAGCTGACTGCTGATGGTGGTCGGCGCAGCGAAGGTGCTGATGTCGTCGAGCATTGCCACTGCGTGGTCAACGCGTTCCTCCAGTTGGCGGCTAGAGGATGCACTGCTGGAAGCCCCAGCATCTGGTCTTGGCGGAACTTGTTCCAAGTCCTGTATACGGGCGTCCAATGCCCGTGTGGCATCCTCGTGCTGAGTCTTATGATTCCGCACGGCCCGCTGGAGGTTCGCCAGCTCGGACTGTAGGTGGTTACACGTGTAAACCAACCTGGTCACTAGCTTGGTCATGAACTCCTTATGCTGCTCTTCCGGTGTTGCCTTGTCGCCGTTCGGTTCAAAGTGCCAAAACTTGAGTTTCTCGATGCTGTTGGCTTCATGCCGCTGCAGCAGACCCTGGGCTTCTTTGCGGCGAGCCTGGGCATCTGCGTCTGCTTCGGCCTGTAGCCACAGCTTCTCTGCTGTTGCCGCTTCCTCAGCCTGTAGCTGGGCAGCCTTGGCTGCCAGCTGGTGTTGTTCCTCAGCCTCGATTAAAGCGAGCTGAGCATGGAAACACTTTTTGTAGTCGGCAATGGGCTCATTGGCCAGTTGGCCTGGCAGGCCCGTCATGTTGCTGACGTGGCACTGTGTCTGACGTGGCACTTTGTCTGACGTGCTTACGTGCACTGTGTCTGACGTGGCACTGCTGATGTGTCACTGTAGCTGACGTGTCACTGTGTCTGATGTGGCACTGCTGACGTGTCACCTAGCTGATGTGTCACTGTTGACGTGGCCTGCTGACGTGTCACTGTAGCTGACGTGTCACTGTGTCTGACGTGGCACTGCTGACGTGTCACTGCTGACGTGTCACTGTGTCTGACGTGGCACTGCTGACGTGTCACTGTAGCTGACGTGGCACTGTACCAACCCGGAAATGCATGCAAAGGGTGGGTGGGAGGGAAAACGCAGGTAGGAAACCAACCCAACAATACTTTCCTCCGGCCCTAATCAACAGATAAAATAAAAAAAATAAAAGAGGACTACTTCCTTTTTTTTTTGTTTTTTTTTTTTGCATATCTGTCGATCTATTATGAGTAGGACATGTCAGAAGAGTATTATGAACGAGATCTAGGCTAGGTTCCGCAATGTTTTGGCTTTTACAAACTGCGAACTTGAAATTTTTTTTTGCGAAATGGATTAGAGATGCGATTTTCAGAAAAGAACGAAATCCAGTTTCTGAGAATATGCAACCTCCGAATATGCCTAACGCAATATTGGTAGGCTTCGCAAGATTTCGATTTCAAAAAAAATTTGCGAGATAGAATGGAAATTCGATTTTCAGAAAAGAATAATTCCAGTTTCCGAGAATATGACCACTTCTACCGTTATCCCAATATGCCTAGAGAACGAAATACTAACTTCAGAAATTTCAGCTATGTATGCGAAATATCAGAGAAACGAAAAGCTACTATCGGGAATTTTCAGACAAAACGAAATGTGATTTATCAGAAATTTTCAGATATTTGTTACGTAAAAACGAACTACTAATATCAGAAAATTTTCAGGTAAAACGAAATGCGAATATCAGAAATTTTCAGATAGTTGTTGCGAGAAAAAATTTTCAGAGATTTGACTAAGTCCTACTTGCGTTACTAATGAGTGATCACTAGATCAGCAAGCTGGCTATTTGATTGAGCGGGTCCTCTCAATGAGAGGTCCGCTCCGATACCAAACTGTTGCATACTGTAACGTGCAGACCAGAACAAGAACCGACCTCTCAATACAAGTACAAGATAACACAGCGGAAGACTTAGATACGAATGATCCGAACAATCAATATTGCAATGCAGCCCTGAACACACATCATCATCATC